AAACAAAACAAACCCAAAACAACAGCCACATCACACTTACAGAAAGTCTTTCCTAACCTGCTGTGGTAGGATCAGAAAGGACAAATTCGAAGAGGATGGATGGTGTTTCTTAAATGTACAGGAATGGCTGCAGGCAAGTCTAATCTGATATCTTTTCATTTTGTGAAGCAAGATAGGGAATTTAAAGAATGTTTGAAGACCCCTCTAATTTTCACCTATTAAACAGTCATTTTATGCTGTAACTATCTCTTCAGGCTCGTTTTGTGAATTTCTCCAGTATAGGCTCTGTTTCTATGTTATTCTCTGCCTGCTCTGCTGTACAGGCTGGAATACCGTTTGCAGAAGCAACGAGCAGCTCCTGGGAGTCTCAGAATGGAAGAACTCTCATTAACTTACTTGGAGTAAGGGCGTGTGTGCACATGCATACCCTGTAATTTCATAGCTGCTGTTCTTGGAAGGGTAGCGGTGGTTGTGTTTCTTGGAGCAGAAATGTAAGATGAAATACTGCATTTTTCTAATAGTGTTGAATTACCTGAAATATATCCATCTGGGATATGACGATGGGAGGAGAGGACAGGGTGATTTCTGACGAGTTGTATCACCACCCTGAACTGACTTTGCTCCAAAGTGTGGTCTTTGTTTTGAGCACAGTACTGAGCGGAGATTTGTTAAGTATCATGCTAAAAATAAAATCATGGTTCCCAAGAGCACCCAGATAAGCAAGAGACTCCCACTTCACTGTAGCTGCCTTGGATTTATTAAAAATCCAATATGTCAACCTTACTACTTGTGCCTTTCTCCTCAGCTCACCGATTCTGTTGCAAACGCTTTCCTAAAATAATTAGGGAAGCAGAGAGTGGAAGTCCCTGAATAAAAGCTGTGGTAAAATGGAAGTGTGTTTATTGTAATGACCTATTTGCTCTTTCCTTTAGGCACAATGGCTACAGTAGCCCAGAAGCACTTTTTGGAAGGGCAGACGTACTCAGTCCCCCTGATCCAACCAGACTTACGCAGGGAGGAGGCTGTTCAGCAGGTGGCAGATGCACTTCAGTATCTGCAAAAGGTGTCGGGCGATATCTTCAACAGGTACGGTGCTATCACATGGGGGTTGGGGGCTTAGCATTCAGCAATAGGAAACAGTGCTGTGATAAGGTTGCAGCAGTGAAAGGGCATTGCATTGGCAAGCAATGGAAGTTCAGTAAAGGGATAAAGAAGGACCACATGCACTTCAATAGAAGTTTATTGGATTTCGGTCTGTCAAAGTTAAGCATAATGAAATGGCTGCAGTCAGCCAGAGGTTGGTTCTTATTAATTTTTTATTCAGTGGCAGACTCCTACAAATTGCATTACTGCTTCTGCTGCAGTTATCCTTTATTCCTTCTTGCTCATGTTTTAAATGGGAAACTTTCTTATTTAGAGTATCTCGAAGATACGTCTTTTTGAGCCATTGTACTTGGAGCAGTGGAGTAGAAAATGTCTCTTTGTTCTGATCTCTGGGACTTACAAACTGTTCTCTTTGAGATTCTGGTGTTTTGCACTGCTTTTTTTGTATGTTGGGAGGACTGAGCACATGGGAGCGTCTGTTCTTCTCGCCACAGTCTCATAATCCATCTAAACTGATCTCTTCAGGGATCCAGCCCAGACGTGCCACCTCTTGCATATGGTCATCTTTAGGATTGGATCTAAAAGGCTACCTATATAGCAGATCAGAGAGATTCTTGTGTTTGCCCACAAATGATGGTAGATAGCGTGGTGCCTTCTTTCATCCGATGCCATCTTTGATATCTCAGCGCCCTGAGATGGCCTATCGTATCATTGATATAGAAACAGATAAGCATTTATCTTCTAATAGCCTGATTAGCAAAAGCACTTGCTTTGCTTTCAGTGGGGATCATGACTACATAGTTTGATTTATTATGGTGTGAGCAGGATCGTGGCATTCTTTCTTCTTTTGAGTTTTTTGGGTTTTTTAAGGGCAGATTGAAGTTCTTCGATTTTTGATAGCGATACTTTGAAGGGCAGCCTCTGGGGAAAGGGTAGTCACTAAGGCTGAGCTCAGGTCATTGAGGCAAATAAAGGCTTTTCATTGGAATAGTCTTTGTTTGGGCGAGGGCCAGGAGTGTGTGTAGGCTGGATTATGTTGAACACAAGGTCTCATTCTTTCGTGCACTTCTCAGTATGGGAACCCTTCATGATTGTCCTGGTTTCGGCAGGGATAGAGGTAATTTTCTTCCTAGTAGCTGGTACAGTGCTGTGTTTTGGATTTAGGATGAGAACAATGTTGATAACACACCGATGTCTTAGTTGTTGCTACGTAGTGCTTACACTAGCCAAGGACTTTTCAGCTTCCCATGCTCT